GTCTCAGGTATCCACCATTTCGGTCCCATGGTCCTCGCTCAACAGTTGACAGTTCCCAGGAGAAGATAAGTCAATCTTTCAGATTTATACTTATCAGAGATCAGTACTAAATAGCTACATGCTATATATATATTTTGCTTAAGTTCAATCTATTATCTTAAGCTCAGTACTATGTTATTATATCATATTATATATTAGCTTACAACTCTAGAAGTTTTGCTACTATATTTAGCTTAAGTTCATCATATCTTAAGCTCAGTAATATGGTCACATTTATACATACATTAGCTAACAAACTCTACTGAGTTTATTGCTATTATTTAGCTTAAGTTAAATTCTAATTTAAGCTCAGTACTATATTCATATAGCTTAAGTTTATACATATCTTAAACTTAGTACTTTGGTTACTGCATAAAAGTATATTAACTATAGTTTATACTATCACATTAACTACTTAAGTCTACGAGTCTTAAGTTTTGTACTAAGTTGTATATACTTTATCATAACATGTATATTGTATAGTTATATTGTAATAACCCATATATGGCAGCTGATAACTTAGCAGCAGGAATTCATCAGTTCAGTGCCTTTATGAAGTTCCCATAGGGTTATTACAGTTTTTACAATTCTAATCACTAATTATCCAAATCCAAAGTATTATATAATCCCACCTCCATAGCCGTTGGATTCTACAAGCAAAAAGCATGAGTCAGGATAAGGAAAAATATGTAATTTTCTGAGTAAAATTGATATTTTATACTTATCCTGACTCATGAGGTAAGCCCTCCCGTCCTCCCCACATAACACTTTGGATTTCCCTGTAAATTCAAGTGTTTGGCTCGCTACAAAGGAGAGAGTGAGGCACATGGTGAGAGGTGGCGCCCTCGTTCCCGCGCTTGCGAGGGGTAAGATAACTCAGGGTGAGTACTAATTAGTGATTTTACATTGAAGGGAACTTCAATTGGGAGATACAAGTGTTCCACTATGTTCGCAAAGAAGAAGAAGACAAGCAAAAAGCATGAGTCAGGATAAGTATAAAATATCAATTTTACTCAGAAAATTACATATTTATTTACATTCACAAATATATTAATTCCTGTCTTGACACATTGTCTGAATGCAGTGTCAGGTAAGTTGTTTTACGCAACATCCGCATTGTCCATCATATGTACGACACACAGGTATATATTGTCAATAAGAACATTTACATTTTTTACAAAAAAAACAATTTTTTTGCTTTATCTGTAGAATGTGAATGCCATTAGAACATTGTGTGTACTATAAAGCTGACAAATTTGTAGCTTTATTGGTAGAGAATGTCATTCAACAAATGTAATATTGACAAATGTGTTAAATACTGAAATAATAGTGTGCTTGAAAATGTGCCTTTCTTTATTTTTATTATACAATGCACCAGTTATGAAAGGATGTGAACTGTGAACAGTTAACCTTAAAGGGAGATAATTTATCAAAACTACTTTGTAGTGCCTTTTCAGTTGTGGCAGGTTTGAGTGATGCTCTAGGTATCCATATGCAAATACCAAATTGTGATGTTTCATATTATTAACGTTTGTCTTTACAACATATATACTGGGACGGAGGCCTCAATACTACAAGAAAGATTTCACTTGACACTGTAGCACTGAATGGTTCAGGAAGTTCCATAAGTAATAACCACATATAATTTTAAACTGTAATGTATATTATCTCTCTAGCTGTTAAACAGCTATCCATGTTGTTGAAAGTGAGTCAGTATTGATCTGCACAGAGTGATCAGTTCAATAAAATAATTTTAGTGATCTGTTTGTGTTTTTGTTATATATACATATTTAAAAACACTACTAATTGATCTTCAAAGCTGATAATTATTATAAGCCATCAAATAAGATGGCAAAAGATTTTAAGAACATTTAGCATGCAGAATTAAGCACTTAAATACAAGGGATGAAGCAATTTAGTTACAGACAAGTCTGTTTCTTGTCTCATAGTGTAAGTGATTTCATGGTACTTGCTTTCACTGTAAATGTACAATAGGAAAAAATATTTATATTTGGTTATATTCAAGCACTTGAACCTACTCAGTGGATTGGTATTCTGCTCATGCTACATTGAATTCAAACACTCTTTTGAGAACTTTAGGCAAACATTCTAGAAATATGCACTTGTCATTTTCACCTTGTGTATTCAAACACTTTTCAAGCAAGCATGAACTCTTTTTCATTAAACATTGCCATACTGTTTCAACAATGAATGTGAACTGGTCAGCACAGGCAATCACTGATACATTTATAGGAACACTTGAAATCTTATTTAATTATACAGTGGAATGCCCCTTTTCACTCTTCTTGAGAATAATTCTGGAATTACATTAGTCAGGTAATATTTGTTCAACTGGGGCAGCATGTCATTCCAGACTTTTTCATCAAATCTGATTCTGTCAACAGTCCACCCATTCAAAGTCCAAATCATGAAATCACACCACAGTCTTTCAGTAATAGCCATTTGACCCTGAATTTGGTAATAATATCTATGAGACCTTTTAAGACGAACACGGTCATTCTCATCTAGAGAACAGTAGAATCTAGGATCCTTGGCACACTCCTAGGGCTCCATCCATTTCCAGTCACAGCCTGCAGGACACTGTATCTCAAGAACACCACCAGTATGTCCATCATCAGTCTGTATCAAACCATCAGGGCTAGCACCAAGATGTGGATACTTTGGATTAACAATAAGACCACATTGTTCCACACAGACACAGTTCTTGTTTGCTGTTTGATAGACCTTGCGTGCTGCAGGTTCATGACTGGTTCCCCATTTACAAAAAGTAACATCAGAAATGTCTCTGTAGCCACAAATATCTTTAAGAAGATTATCTGGCTTTGTGTCACTGCGCATCAACACAACATCTCCAAATTTAGAAGAAGTAGGTCTTTCACTTCTGGCAGCTAACCATAAGTCGTTTTATGCTGACCTCTTGTTAATGTCTCGATACAGTGGGCATCTTCCTCTGACACATGCATACAATCAAATAATACCTGCATTTTTTGCTGACAATTAGTGGAATGAAGATCTACATGGTCATAATATGAAAAGGAAATGTTATGAAGGGGAGGCAGAGAGGGTTTCATGTTTGATGGCGTAGAAGTGCCTGCATAAAACTTTAACCAGGCAGCATTGGAATTCTTACTTTCAAGTTTCTGTTTAAATCTCTGACAGTTGACAATGGGTTTAATGTAAGCTGCTTTTTCATTACCAATCTTATCACACTTCTCTGAATTTGAACAATTTTCTATCACTGCTTCCCTTTCATGTAGAACAGAAGATGACTTTCTAAAATTAACATCTTGTGATCTTTTTGGACTAAGTTTCCTCTTGCATGGGTTATTCCCCTTGCATGGTTGGGATGTGCATGATGTAGTACCAGCTTTCCTCCTTGTTGTCACATCAACTAAACAGTGGCACAGTGCTGCAATGTGATTGCAAGCCTCACCAGCCCTGAAATATGTATATATAAAAAAAATAAATTAGGAACAAATCTCAAATTTTGTTTACATCATGATAATTTGAAATCTTTTCTTCATACTATTTACTAAGAAATGAATTCTCATGCTTATGAGTACTCATTATATGTTACACATATCCTGGGCACTGTTAAGGTTTGCTTGCCTTGAAATTTATATCTCCTGGTGGGGTGTGGCTGAAGAAATCTCTTTATGGAGGGAGCAGAAATATAAGGTAAATAAGAAAAAGACAAAGAAGGACCACTTACCCAGCTGCACAAGTGCAGTCTGCAGAGTGAATCTTGCCTGTAACCTTTGACAAACAAATCCATGCAATGTGGTCTGGGCATTCTTTCTTGTTGCTCGTAGGCAGTGATGGTATGACTTTGCATCGCACGATAACATGGCTACATACGTCTGAAGTGAATGAACATGTCTGTCTTCAAAATATACGAAAGACTTATGCTGTGGCTTCACGTTCATGGTGAGAACAAAGTAGTTATAGACTTCAGTCTCTGAAAAATCAGGAATGGCACTAGTGTCCCGTATCCAGACTGTGAGATTCTGCGGATCAGGAATACTCTCGCCTAGGGGTGTTATCAACTTGTCATGAAGTGGTCGAGTCGGTAGATTTGCAAGCTTTGTCGCACTTGCATTTGTTGGATAACAAAGTCTGCTTACCCCTTTCGCCCTCTCAACAAGCTCAGACTTCTTACCAGTAACATATTGGCCATGATCGCGGAGGTACGCTTTCAGCTCTGTAACTTTCATGACCTCTATCTCTCGGTCACCAAGCAACGTATCAACAGATGCCATTGTTGCTAAGTACGTCCTGGAAGTTGTTGGTGTTTCGCGCCGGAGTAAATAGGAAGGGAGATAACTCACATTTTGAGAGAGGCCAATAATAGGCAGCCAGTGACAAGAAAACAAGGAAACAACAAAATAATAACAAAACCCAACAAAATAGCTTTCCTTCACACTCAGGAACCCTTCCCTACGTTATACCTAAATTCTATACGTCCTGCTTCACTCCTATGGCTAATTTCTCCCCCAACCCACACTACCTACATGATATAAAAATACCCAACAAAAATTTACTATATCATAACATATCTATATATCTAACCTACTACTGCATTAATCCTATCTCTCCTTTACCCCCACCCGACTACCGTTCAAAACCACTACATCAATAGCTAGTCCTACCAGGCCAGAGGGAATATCCCCCGCAATGGCAGTGGATGTACTGCTGGAATCACCGACATGCAAGACAATGATATCGTCGCATATCATATGTCCACTTTCACTTACTTAAATCAACAAAACTCAACAAAACACAGTCTCATTCATCTCACTAAAAAAAGTGGAGTCTCAGAAACAAACAGAATAGATCCATTGTTTTCTTGACAATGTCTATTAACAGTTACCCGAATTGATTTGGAGGGGTATTGTTCAGGACAAATATGTTGTCTCATACAAATGTCACTTTGTTTTCAGAAAATGAGCACTGGACATATTGCCGAGTGTGTAACAGAAAGCGCCCTCAGCGTGCTCATCACTGTAGAAGATGTGGTCAGTGCGTTATGAAAATGGATCACCATTGTCCATGGTAAGTGCAGTGAAGGTATTTATCTATCAAGACTGGCGTGACACATTCCTTCTTGTGTTCATGGTATTAAAAAACATTTAGTCTTGCTCAACATTATTGTTCTTCTGGGAAAACATAATGTGAAACACTGAAACTATTATAGCCTGCCAGTGCTAAAGGATCAAGATTTGTTCATGCTGATAAAGTGAAAATACTTTTTGTTACCCACCTATGTGGTGAAGGTGGTGTCAGCCTGGATTCGCCTCTTTGTTTACGTGTAGAACCTCTTGTTGGTGTTGGCTTGCTATTTTCAAAACCCCAGCATGACTTTAGCACAAGTTTAATGCAATTTTGCCTTGGAGGTTTTTGCAGACCGCAAATATATGTGGAACTGTTCATGTATCAAAAATTGAACAGAGAAAAGCTTTCTGAGAAACCATTGCATCATGTGTACATGCAGTGGGTGGAACAGAGAAGTAATCCAACTGACTCCTTCGCCTGGATAAAGTCAGCTGGTCTTAAATGTGAAACTGAAGGCTTTCTTTTTGCTGCCCAGGACCAGTCACTTCCCACTCGCAGTCGCCTAAATGTGATTCTTAAACAAAATATTAACATGAACTGTCGACTGTGTAATGAATTTACAGAGACGGTCCAACATCTTGTCAGTGGATGCCCTTCTTTGGCACAAACAGCATATCTTAAATGACATGATGGCATGGTTTGTTGCTTTTACTACCGTCTCCGACATGCCTGTGGCTTTGACTCTGAGGTCCATCCATGGTATGACCCTGAACATGTCCAGGGTGTCATGGAAAATGATGCTTTCAAACTTCTGTGGAGTAGGCCCATATACAACCTGAGAAGAATTCTAGCTAACAAACCTGATCTTGTCCTTTTTGATAAAGCCAATGAATATATTTATATCATAGAATTTTCTGTCAGCAGTGTGATTGGCAAGATTCAGGAAAAGCATGCTAAGTATGCAGACCTCGCCTTTGAAATGTCTCACTCTCATCCCAAGTACACTTTTGTCTGATTCCCCACTGTTCTCGGTGCCTTTGGTTTGGTAGCTCCTGATCTCTTGACGCGGATCAGGAAAGTGCCTGGGTTCTCCACCAGGAGACAGCCCTACTGAGCACAGCCCTTCTGACACTCTCGTTAATGCAGAAGGCTGCAGTGTTGGGGAGTCTTTATATTCTCCGGAAAGTTCTTTGTGGGTTCGCCTAGGCAGCATTTCCTGGGAGAAGTCCCACTCGCTGTCTGGGTTGCGTGTAGAGGGAGCAAGGGCCCTGAGCTGATGATGAGTCTTACCAGCCTGACTGTGCCAAAATCACCCGAACCCTCTCTGCTGCATTTTTCTACTTAATCTGTGAAACATATTTGGATATTAACAGTAGGTCTTCCGGACTTTCATCTGAAGACCTAACTAGGATTGCTTCCTGGTGCCTCCTGTGCAATGCTGACGGTCTGAAGACTCTCCTCCAAAACACACACACACACACACACACACACACACACACACACACACACACACACACACACACACACACACACACACACACACACACACACACACACACACACACACACACACACACACACACACATCCAATACCTTTACTTATACTGTTTCTTTGAACACCAACTGCAGTGTCCATTACAGCGTTTTCGTGATAGAATTCCTAAGGAAATAGATGTTAGTTTGCTGTGAAAAGTAGTCGCCGCAATTCGGCGCTTATGGAATGCTGCTGACACAAACGAAAAATTCAGTGAGTGAGTGAGTTAGTCAAAATTTAAAGTCACATCGGCAATATTTCAGCCATATTGTGACTAAAACAAGTTGATAAATTCACCATATATACATGAGAATCATAAGAAGAAAACTGTCATCGAAATACAGTAAACTCCAACTAGTATATCACAGTATCAAGAACTAAAACTAGCATCTATGTCTAAAAGTTGATTTCAAATGAGGACAATACAATATAGAAATGGGCTATAGATCACCAGGAACTGAAGGTTGATCCAACCGGAAAATTCAGAAACTGCAGAAAAACAAACAGGAACGCAGTCAAACAAAGCAAAGGAATTGAGTCCTTTATATAGATCCTATCACAGTGTTCGAGATCCAAACAATAGGTGCCCAACTTCCAATACAAAGAAGTCAGATATGCAGCCATGGCTAACAAATAACAATATACAATTTTCAATTAAGGCCACTCAACCACAGTTGTACTCTTTGATTAAACCTAACAAACCTCCACCCACATATAACATTGACAACATGCTACGCCAACACGGCCATAAGGTCTTGAGATTACCACCGTACCACTGTGATCTCAACCCAATCGAACTTATCTGGGGAGACCTTAAAAGTACAGTGGCCCGGAAAAATCAATCATTCAAGTTGAATGATGTCAAGCACATTGTCAACCACTGCTATATGTGACATTGACATTGCATGCTGGCATGCATGTGTTAAACATGTCAAGAAGGTGGAGAAAGAGTACTGTCTCAAAGATGGCTTGAAGGAGCAAACAGTTAATCCAGTTGTCATTCGTCTGGACACTGATGACTCCTCTGTGGAAGAATGGAGTGAACTTGATGAAGTTTTATTCTGTTATTATATTTACAGATAATAATAGTATCCAGGCAGATATGCTCAAAGAAATATAACTTCTTTTAACAATGACAGCACTGACTAATTCCAACGACTTATAGTGTAACATGAAACACTCATTTCACATAAAATTATCATGAAAATATAAATATTAACTATCTATATGCTAAAAGCAATTAGAAATGCATTGCTTAATTTGGAATGTGAACGACATCAAAACATAACACTTTTGTCTTCATTCTATCTTTTCTTCAATGAGTGTGCATGATCGTGTGTGCTTGTGTCCGAGGGAACGGGGCTTTAACAGTTGTTGAGTTCTAACCATAGGTGGTCCGATTAATGATTTAGTGTAAATATACTTTCTGTGTTCTTTAAATGCATTTCCACTTAGGTACTGCGTAAACAAAATATGACATTAACATTACAAATTTAAAGATTTTAACCTACAGAATAATTCTCACTAATGGGTTTTGTGGTTAATGTTGAACAACTCAGAGAAACAAACTCCGTATGATGGTTAACAGTTGGCACCCACCTTACCCTATTCATGACCTGTCACGTGCATAGCTGACCTACATTGACGAACGTTGACCTTTATGACCCAACACTGCCGCTGTTACAGGTCATTGGCTCCCTCCTTCTGCAAGCAGTCTGCGTTCTGCTGTTTATTTTGTTGACAGTTACATAGACAGATTCTTTAATACAAATGCATAAAATCGGTGATTTACAATGTGATTAGGTTGTCTGACAAAACATCCACTTGCACAGTTTGAGATCGATTGGATCATTGGATGAAGAGATATTTGCAAAAAAACGGGTCCACATGCATTTCATGCCAAACTATAGAAGAAGTAGCGAAGACACTGGAAACCCTAGACGGGTTCCGCTTGAGACAGTTATGTGACATAAAACGCCAACTAGAACAAGACCGCGACAAACGGACAGCATTATGCAAGAAGTACCATAAAGCTTTCAATGTCGTGGATGGGATTGATACCAGCATGGGATTAGGAGCGGTAGATGTCGGGTTGTTGGCCACCGTCGTAGCCGCACCTATAGTACTAGGCATCGAAATAACAGCTGGGGTGTCAGGGTTGGCGGGGTTGGTGTTTAAGTTTGCAAGCGACCACATCTCCACTGACTGTAAAGTCTCCGAGGAGGAGTTTCGTTTGGTCCTCTCTGAACTCACCAAGTACCACGAGATGAAACAAGAGATCCGGTCCAAGTCTCGTAAGAGCACTGTCATCAGCAAAGACGAGAAAAAAAAGTACATAGAACAAGGGGTACAACAAGCCTGGCAAGCCTTCATTACGAAGACCAAAGAGATCATAGGCGATTCACATTAAACTGTTTCATCGAGGTCAACATGATACTAAGGCCTGGGCGGCCCGTGGCCAGGAAAGTGTTGGTTCGCGGTCATAGTGACCAGGAAGTTGGTTGGGGGATTCAAAAGTGGTATATACACTGGGGGAAGAGATCTGGGCCTGATAAAGGCTTTATTTATGAAATAAAGCTTTACAGAGGCCCTTGGCAAAAGTGATCTTGTACCCCCAGTGAACATACTACTCAGTAATGTTTATGCAAGAGGCTAGGGTTGATTGATGAGCTCATCGTATGCAGTGGAGATAAAGTCGCCTTGTTCTCTATTAAGCAGTGGTCGGTATTGTCTGATGTTAATTCCTTCAGTTATCTTGCGTTTGGTAAAGTCTGGTTGGTTTGTAGCGAGGATGGTGAAGTCGGTCCAGTTGATTTGGTGATGGGGATGAGTTGCTATGTGGTCTGATATGGCTGATTTCTGGTCCGATTTTATGGTTGATGTCTGATGTTCCTTGATTCTGGTGTTGATGGGCCTGGATGTTTCTCCTATGTATGAGTGTCCACAATTGCAGTCACCTTTGTAGATTACGACCTTCCGTCCGTCCGTCCGGGCACATTCGTCTTTTCCGAAGCAGAACTTCAAAACCATTCACTATTTCTTCACCAAACTTGGCACATAGATAGATCTGGTGGTGTGCTGGTGCATTTTGTTAGTTTTGGAATTCTGAATAAAATATTTATTTCATTTCCAACAAGTTGGCAACAAGTTACTTTGACTGAAATTGGGTGTTGTGCTCTTTTCCGGAGTAGAACTTCAAAACCAGTCACTATTTCTTCATACATACATACATACTAACATTTATATAGCGCCGATATCCATCTCAGCTGCTCAAAGGCTCTTTGTTTTGTTTTTCCCTCGATCACTGGATATCAATCTCAACTCCCTGGGGATCAAACAACTCTTGCAGCCACTAGGCGCACCGAGTTGTGTGGCTTTCCCATCCTTACGAGGTACCCATTCACAGCTGGGTGGACTGGGACACATAGTCACAGTACTTTGTCCAAGTTTACTGCACGTTGCTGT